CTGGACGCAGATGGAGGCTCTGGCCTATGCCATTTAGAAGGGTGAAAACACTTGAGCACACCAGCAGTAATTCATCAAATGAGGATGAATTTGTTGATTCTGAATCTGGTCTGCAAAACTCACAACTTGAAGCAACTCCTGAGTCCCCCCAAAAGCAATTTGTGAGGACAAATGTTCCCACCAACGAGCAGATAGCATCTTTAAATCTCAAAGAAGGTCAAAATATGATAACTTTCAGTTTCTCTACCAGGGTTTGGGGGACACAACAGGTTTGCCAATCATCTGGTGTTTCATTTATAAATTTAAGCTATAGCCAATAGTGTTACTAAGCCATTTTTATCTTTACCAGGTTGATGCACATATTTACTTGTGGAAATGGAATGCCAGAATTGTAATTTCTGATGTTGACGGAACTATTACCAAGTAAGGCTGCTGTAAATGTAATGTGGTTTTGATTGCTAAAATAAGATTGCTTCTTCAACTTTCTGAAAGTAGATGGAAAATGTTGAAAGTTGTAATTCTCTTGCTTTCTTCTATTGCCATAGGACAAAACCATAAGAGACCTAGTTTAGTACCAGACAGTTATACAAATTAATTCTTTGGACTATCAGATGTCAGCACAGGCAATCTGCAAACCTATCAAAAATACAAAAAAGACTTTACCATCATGATGTTATTATTGCTTAGTTTAAAGATAAAACTTTCACCTGAATCCATTTTTTCCAGGTCTGATGTGTTAGGCCAGTTCATGCCATTAGTTGGAAAAGATTGGACGCAATCTGGTGTGGCTAGACTTTTCTGTGCAATTAAGGTACATCTCTTTAAAGATCATTGCAGGGGAAAAAAAGACTTGTAAGCCCCATGTTCTAACTGAGTTTAATGGGATTGCATAACTTTAATATTATAATGGAAAATCCCTTTCTTTTATATTATAATGGAATTATTTGGTTTTTCTTTCGTACATTGCTATCTAATATTGAGTCCTGCTTTTTCTACAGGAAAATGGATATCAGCTACTGTTTTTGAGTGCACGTGCAATAGTACAGGCATATCTAACGAGAAGCTTTTTAGTCAACCTAAAACAGGTAACCTAATAATAGCGTGGTTTTTGGTATCCCTTTCTCTCTAATCCAACACCAAATTATAGTTCCTTGCCTTCTTTAAGTGATTATGTTGATAGAACTGCATACGCCAAGTTGATTACTCTTCTGTACTTGCAGGATGGAAAAGCTTTACCCAATGGACCTGTTGTTATCTCACCCGATGGATTATTTCCTTCATTGTATCGTGAAGGTGAGGTTATCTCTGTAATATCTGTTCAGCTTGCATTAACTAACTGTATTATAGTATTTATGGTGCCCAATCTGTAATGGTAATCTCACTGATTTTTTCATGAAGTATACCATGTGAAAATGAAAGCCAATAGGAAACTATAAAAGGAGAAGGGCATGCATAGAAAATATTTGTAGTGTTTACCACGATAGAAATATTTTAGACGCTAGTAGGTTGATTTGGATCAAAGCAGCATATTTCAGCCATGGTATGGTTTTATAGGGTGCCTGTGGTAAACGAGTAACTATTCTCTCTCTTGTTCACTGTTAATATACGATGACTATCACATCCTCTATTTATTTGGATACGCAATCATGAGAACCTTTCCTTGATGTGTACTAACTTGAGCATTTGTTATTTCCGTTGACCCGTGAACGAAGAGCATGTAGTTATCCATGGTTTTATAGACACATCACACCACCACTGCCAGATAATAGCTAGCTCCTTTGTTTGCTTACATGTTTGAATTCTACCTGTCTTTAATTTTTTTAAAATGTTTATTTAGTTTGCGCTGATCAATTAGTTTGTTTTTACCTATTTGCTGATGGCAGTTGTAAGAAGAGCACCACACGAATTCAAAATTGCCTGTTTAGAGGTAAATAGCTAAGAAAGTTAAACCCAAGTTAAAAAGCGAACATGTCTGGTTGGCATTGGACCGTTTTCTTCTAAGAGTTGTGATACGTGATAATCATATGCTGCAGGACATAAAAAAGCTCTTCCCCTCTGATTACAATCCATTCTATGCGGGTTTTGGAAATAGAGACACAGATGAGCTCAGCTACAGGAAAATTGGGATTCCAAAGGGCAAAATATTCATAATCAATCCCAAGGTAATTGTCTTCCACTGATGCTTATCACAAACCAAAGAGAGCAAATACATGTATCTTCTGTGGTTAAACTGTTTCCATTAACTTGCAGGGCGAGGTGGCCATCAGCCATCATCGCGCTGATGTGAAGACGTACACATCCTTACACACTCTCGTCAACGACATGTTTCCTCCAACTTCACTGGTTGAGCAGGTAACTTAACATTCTTCTACATCCTCACCTCAGAACATAAACCGAAGTGTGTTTAGAGAGAGCTCTAACTCTGGCTTTGTTTTCATAATCGATGATGAACCTGGTTTTCAACACATTTGCAGGAAGACTTCAACTCGTGGAACTATTGGAAAGTGCCACTGCCAGACATTGAGTGATGGTTGTTACTTAAACATTTCCCTTTGGCCAAACATGTCGGCGGCTTGGAGGCATGCACATTGTAGAGATAACAACACTTAACATTCTTGCTGATCGTCGTCTCCATTCTATGCACATAATAGAACTGATGGCTCTCTTTTTTTCTGGGTCAGTTGTATTATCAGTGTAATATCCAAGCCATTGGCATTGTATTAGAAACTTGAGATTTTACTTATCCATTTTAAAATAAAAACTTTTGCAGTAAACATTTAATTAAGACACGGTCTGGTCACTAATCACGAAATTATGGTAAATCTTTAAAACTTACATGATCTGTTAATACGCGTAAAAAAGATTAGTGATTGGATTTGTCATATTTACAGACCAAGGACAAACTATGGTGAATCTTAAATGAAATTATCAAGGAGAAATCACTTGTATTCATTATTTGTTTATTACATAACCCGCAAAAATTAATTTAAAAAAGGATATAGCATAGTACTTGAAAATGGCTGAAATGTTGATTAGTATATTTCTAATGATCAAGTAGCATTCTACATAAAATTATGTTTATGCAATATAAAAATATATATATAAAAAACCTTAAATCATGTTTATCATGAAACGACGTCGCTTCGTATGGTTTAATTAAGCGTTTAATATGCCGAGAAATCCTCCACGCCCATGCTAGACGTTGCTCGTTTGCAATTAGTAAGAATAGGGGTAATTTGGTAAATTCGGAGTTGAAAGAAGAAAAGGAAGCGAAACAAAAGGCAAAGCCGCGCAAAGTACTCCAACTAGAACCAGAAAAAAAGGTTCATTTTGCACCCGGAAGGAATTGCTTGACTTCTTCTCCATCTTCTCCATCAACCCAAAATCAACAAAAATCCGCCTCCTTTCATCATTTTACCTCTAATTTATTTGTTTTTCTGTTTGGCGAGCGGGAATTTCCGTAAGAAAACGCGAGAAAAAGAGAGCGGCGGATGACATGTCGTGGATAAGAAATGCGGTGAACCTGGCAGTGGAAGCAGGGGCTACCAATAGCCTCACTCGCACCGTACGGAACTACGCCGACTCTGTCGTCCTTCACGCCGGGAATGCCGTCGCCGGCGGTGCCAGACTCCTCCTCCCTGAACGCATTGTACTATTTCCCAACTCACCATTTCCTTTTAATCATTTTATTACTTCATTTGATTGAAAGAATTCAAATTTTGATTGAGCTGCTTTAATTTTTTCATTTTGAGATTATCCGCTGTTTGAATGGATGCCCATTTCGTTGCAACCCAAAAAAAATGAATTCCCATTTCATGTTTGTTTGTTTTTCTTATAGAAAAAAAAATTGGAGTTAGTTTTAATATTAATTTTATTCAAATTCTGATTTGTTTGCCTGGGTTTGTTAATCAGGGCCCTAGGAATTTACAGAGTTTTAGGCTCACTGTGAAAAGATTGGAAGAGGTGTCTGTTTCCTGTAGAGGGGTAGAAAGGGTTCAGCTACTGAGGAGGTGGTTGGTTGCACTTAAAGAAATAGAGAGATTGCCCAGCCTTTACAATGTGAACAATGAAAGAAGCCCTGATGACCAACTTAACTTTGATGAATCCATGGAATCGCCAAAAAGACCTACGCTGGTGGGTAAACCCTGATGCACTCGACAGTTATGTTTTTGTTGTTTTGGTTACTCTATCGTTGTAATTCTTGTGTGTTTCTGTTTGAGACAGGTTTATTACATTGACTCTGATATGGGAGATGAACCAAAAACTTTTCGCGATGTCTTTCTACATAGCCAAGCACTTGAAGGCATAACATTATCAATGGTAAGTTGAGAAATTATTAATGTTTTCTCATACGCATCATATCAGTCTTCTTGTATAGACAAGTGCTGAGAATGGATGATAGTCTCTAATTTTGATCTTAATTAAATGACTTCGTTGACATAGATGGAATTGTTTGCTTATTTTACCAATTACAAGGCTAATCCCCTAGTGCTTATATGATGAGTGAAGTTATGGGGTCCTATAATAACAAACGGCAATCAGGGGTCACCAAGAGGTGCATTATAAGTAGAAAAGAACTCTTCTTTTGTTATACATGAAAAGTCAAAATGAAATGGTTCTAATTTATTAAAGTTTTTTTCCTCCTCCCTCTAATCTGTGTGCAAAGTTGTAGAATATTTTGATTTCTTCCTTTAAGCTTTCCCTTGAGTTTTAGTGCCATTCTGCATACATTGGCTGGGCTTTGTATTTGCTGATCCATGGAGTTTAACCGCAGGTTAACTCTTTTGTATGACTCAGATTCTTGAAGAACCAAATGAGGAAGAAGTTTCGCTACTTTTGGAGATATATGGGTTATTTTTCTCACTCTTCTAATATTCTCATAATGGCTGATTACCACTTCTTTGTGATAACTTAGGTCCTTGAAATTACATTTTTAGTCCATAACAACAGCAAGAAAGATTCTGTTTGGTTGACCAAAAAACTATTCAATAAAGTAAAGATAATTTTCCTAAAGATAGCTCTTGCGGATAATATTATTTGAATATTAAAATATTACATGAATTTTCTTGTACCATATACAGGCTCTGTCTTACAGGAGGAAAGGAGGTACATAATGTAGTAATGAGCAGTGTACAGAATTTGGCAGCAGCACTTTCATACTATCAAGATGAAGTACTGGTAAGGACAGGCGTATGCACGAATTCAGCATGAATGGGGTTAACTTAAGGCTGTAAGCCTTCTGAGTACTTTTGGGATCAGACATCTAAGAATGGCCTATATATTCAGCTTTCACAAATGTTTTGCTTGAAATTTTCTTGTCTCAGTCCAATCGATGTTCTAATCGTTGAAAGTGCTTCTTATTAAAAGTTACATATTAATATTATCATTTGAAGGCTTCAGTTCCCAAGAAACCATTCCCTTTTTTCCTCTGTTTCTTGAACTGCCATCTTCATATTTCTACTCATATGAAAAGTTACATAATTTTTTCATAAGCCAAAAACAGTAACATTTCTAACCTTATGCAAATTATGTTGCAATTTAAGATTTTTGAGTTTAATGCATGCGTCCCTTTCTTATCTATTTTTCTTTTTACTTCTATTTTCAGATAAAACGAGAAGAATTGCTCCAATTTGCTCAAGGTGCAATTGCAGGGCTGAAAATAAATGCTGATCTTGCAAGGTGGTTGAGGAACATTTTTTTTTCCTTCTTTTTTTGGCTTCATGTTTGGGCATTAACATGCAAACTAAGAGATATTTGGAATGAAAATGACTGTTCAGTTATTGGTTTTTGATGTTTTGTGCTATGCTGATTCTTCTGTGATTAAGAAACAGAATTTTTGTAGCTCCGCCTTATGCCTTGATATGTTAAATTTGTGTTTTTATATGCTCTAGTAGATATTATATACTGAAGTGACTGTTGCATGCTCGGACTTTGATCAAACAGATCAATCAGCACTATGAATTCATAATATGTATATTTTCTGCTGCTCACTCTCTCTCTCTCTCTCTGTGTCTACATGTGATCAATGAAACTCCAAACTTGTTGAGCATGATTCTTACAATTATCCTTCCATACCACTGCATTTTGTGCTCTTGAAGTTTGGTTTTCCTTTTTCTTTGTTAGTTTATTATGTAGAGGACAATAACATACAGCAGAGTTTTTTATTTGCATACCCTCTATTCGATCTCCTTTGGTGAATGTTTGGAATCCACATGTTTCCATTCTTAGACAATCATTATTAGTTTAAGTTTTAATAAGATCCAGTTGTTCTTCACCTAATCTTGTCCTCCACCTGTTTTTGTTCTCTGCTCTCAGAATAGATGCTGAAGCCTGCAGTATAAGGGAAGAACTTGATAAAGTGATGGCACACCAAAAGCCTCGAAGTGAAGGTTGTGAAAATTCATCTGAGAAGGAAAGGGATGCAACAATAGAGGTAAACTTGATCTTTTTATTTATGCAAATACAAGCACACATTCAAATACATCTCCCATAAATGCACGGTTTTATTTGAGATGATTTTATTTTATTCACATTCAAATTAAAAGTGTTATCAGAATCTCTGTTTCAGTATAAAAGAAGCGCATGTAGAAATTCAGCTGTTGAAATATGATACATGCCTTAACTCCCTAACTGTTTAAATATCATCAACTAAGGAATTAGGATAACTAAGTGTATATGACTCGTTGAACTGAAAAGTCTGATTTCCTTGCAGAATTTAAAAGAAGCACTTGTTGAAATTCAACTATGCTCCAGGTTGGAGGATCTGTTATTAAAGAAGAAATCCTTGAGCAATGGGGACTCCCCCGAGATGCACTGTGAAAAGGTATACTCCATGTGATATCATCCCCGCACCTCCCTCCTTTCCTTTGAACTGTAACAAAAGAGGAATTGACAGTTCTGAATGTTCTAGACTGATTCAGGGTTTGACAAACAACTTAACCTAAAAGTGGGTTTGATAAAACAGTTTTTAACAGTTCAGTGAGGTCAAACATTACATGGTATCCATGAAACGTATCCTGAATGCAATCTAGAGAAACAGTGTGAAGAACAAAGCTACAAATTTTCAGTTCATCTTATAAAAATTAATCTGAACATTCTTCTCAGTTACTGTGTGTTTTATATATATTATTTTAAGTATGGTTACTGCATAAGAAGCCTAGCTATGCCTTTGAGGGGCACTGCATGTGTTTAGGCAATTAGGCCCCATCTTCTCAGGCCAGTTCTTCTCTTATTTGTATCTAACTGCCCGTTTTAATTTATATTGCAGGTTGAAAAATTAAAAGTATTTTCAGAATCTCTTGCTAACTCCACCTCACAAGCTGAAAAGCGCATTTTAGACCACAGGTTTCAAATTGTATTTTAAAGCATTTTGCTTGTGTCTATGTGTGCTGGTGTTGTATGCAGGTTTCCATGATTGTTTTTTTGTCTGTGTATAGCTGCACATGTGTTCAGAAAATAGATGCTTATGTAAGCACATCCATTGTGAAATAGTTTTTTGTTCATGACCTAGTTTTTCTGAGAATTTGCAGTTTAAATGAATTAGCATATGTTTATTTCCTTCTTTTCCTACTTGATAAAATGGATTCTCATATTGTGTATGGACCGTAAAGGACCTTTTTCATCAGTAAAGGAGTCTGCTTGCTAAACATAGTGTTGAAGTAGATTAATCTGATGGTTGTCATTAATTTCTTTGGGAGATTAATTTTCGTTTCATTTATTTAGATCAGAAAGCTGCAATCTTCTAGTGTTAGATGTTTTAGCTGTTTTTTTTGTGGCTTCTTGAGCACTTCTGTTGTATCTTTTATGTTTTCTTCAATAAAAGTTTGTTTGTTTGTTTGTTTTTAAAAGTGCACTTGAGCTCTATACATTTTTGGTTCATGTCAGCACACACCTCTCCATTTTGATATTTGATTAATTGCTATTTGACAAAGAAAATGTGAAAATTAGGTCCAGTTGGTGTTTCCTTTATCTTTATTTTCTTTACTGGTTTTTATTCTTTCTCTCAATACTTAAAGCAGGTTTCAGAAAGAAGAAGCACTCAACTTTCGTGTAGCTAAAGCTAATGAAGTAAGCCAACTGGAGAAGGTATACTGGCTCAAAAGACTTATTTCCCCCTTTTTCAAAAGAGAATGTGAAAGAACTATGTGAATCCATTCAACTAAGGAATTCTTTTGCACAGATATATCATAAGTCTCGATTGAATAGGCATTTTCAGTTAATGATAGCTTAACTAATATGTCTTGAAGCCTATCGATCTGTACATTACATGTTTACATGGGCTTCAGTTGCTCAGAGTTTGTGGTATTCAACAGAATGGATTTAATATCAGACTCTTCTTTTAGCTAGTATAAAATTTGAACCTTACCTTTTACTATTTGTTTGATGGATTTAGACCTAATTTTTGTATCTTTGAGGATTAACCTTATCATGCAAGTATTGCCCACACTGGCACGTGTCAACTTATTTAGATGCTTAAATAAAAACTGCAGACTTCCCACACAATGGTAGCTGATAAATTTTTGTACCCATTGTTAATATGTATAGAAATGTGATTTAAGAACATCTTAATCATCTTTAATTTAATTTTTCAGAATTGATGTATGACTTCTTTTTTGTCTAGTAGACTTGTTAAATTTTTATGTCACATATGGTTGAGGCCTACTGTCTATATAGTGGACTGTTTACTGGAATAAATTTGTTTGGTTGTGATCCATTTTGTTGTTGACGTCCACGAAATTGTAGTAACTTGGCATTTTTCAGGAATTGGTGGCAGAGATCGGACAACTTGAGAGGCAAAGAGAAGAACTCCAACAAGAACTGAAAAAGGTTCCTCCTCTGTTATATATAAAGAGATAGTGCGCTTTAGGAGATCGCAGTCATTTCCAATAGCGTTTAATTAATCGTTAGTTCTAGGCTTCTAGGTAAAATGTACTCTGATATTCATATTGATGGTGATCAACTAAAGTGGTGCGTTTTTGTTAATGATAAAATTGTCCCCATTCACAGAGCCTATTTAAACAAGTTGAAGGGTGTTCATGAGAGTATACATATGCATTTTTTTTTTCCGGTGTGAGCATCAGAAGAGGCGAACTGCAAATGTCACCCCCACCAATTCTATAGCCTGCAAAATAAGTCCTATTCTGTTTTCTCATATTCTTTTGCTGGGGGGTATATATATACGGCTGAACATTTTTTACAGGTGATTATTTCATTGAAGGCCGTTCGTGCACGCCTTCACAATGCAAGGGAAGAAAGAGAACAGTTTGATGAAGCAAGCAATCAGATTCTTGTACACATAAAATCAAAGGTATTATAGGTTTTTTGTTATGCCTTAGGTCACATTTAGAATGCATACATTAAGAATGGTTTTCTACAGATGTACTTTGGATGAGCATTTAATAGCTTGCTATGGAGTATCTATAATATCTGTTTTCTTTAATCACAGGAAGATGAGCTGTCAAGATCCATTGCTTCATGTAAAACAGAAGTTGATGTTGTCAATACTTGGATTAGTTTTTTGGAAGATACATGGGTTCTCCAGACCTCATACACAGAGAAAAAGGAGAAGCAGGTCAAGTATGTAGATCTTATTTACACTGATCAGCAAATGAATCTGATGCCAATATTTCATGTTGGATAAATGTATTCTGAAAACTTGAAATGGAATTAATATCCTATGATATGATCTCTTTAACGTTTTCTGTACTTGCACTGTTGTGTCCATCCCCTAGTGTATGATGAGTTCTTCATATTTAATGATATTTGGTTATTTTCTTGTTCAAGTGGTGAACTGGAGAGATATGGAGACCATTTTGTGCATTTGGTAATCCAACTTCTCTCTACCTACAAGGTAATAGTTTTCTTCTTATATGTTGATTATTTCTTTTAACTAGTGCATCACGTTCACTTTTATCTATTACTATAATTTTCTTTTTTCATATCATAAACTAGGAAAGCTTGGGATCATCCATCGTTCGTATTAAGAATCTCGTGGAGAGCTTGAGGTCAAGTCAAGGGTAATTTTCTCTGTTTCTCTTAGCTTTCCTTTTACACAATTTTATCAAGCCTCTGATTGTTTATTTATATCAGAGCAAATATATCACCTCGTATGGATGATGGAAGTTCGAAAGTAAATAACCCAAGAAAAACTCTTGAAGAGGAATATTTGGACATGGAAGCGAAGGTATGCACACATTTTCCACTGTTTTTTTAATCCTTTGATAAGTGAAATTTTCAGTCAAATTCTTTAAGATCACGTTCCACTTTTGCATGTATGTATTAATCTTGTATTTCTTCATTCATTGTGCTTTGAACGGATATATCAGCATGAAATATTCCTCAATCTAATTTCCCTTTGTCATTTCAGTTTCTGACCACCTTAAGTGTAGTGGAGACCATGAAAAGGCAGTTCTACGTTCAAACTGAAGGCATTTTCAGGTACACTCTCGTCTATGCTGTCATTTTCCCTTCTGCCATTAGGTACATCTCTATGTTTATAGCATCACTCCCTTGATATGATACATGGTACACTCTTGATCCAGGAGAGATGACCAGAAGGTCAAAGACCTCTTTGATGCCCTCAAAAAAATAAAAGATGAATTTGAATCCATTGACAGACCGACATTGGAAATCGAAGCTTCACCACAAAGACCAGAGACACCGTCTAGTGATAGGCCCCAAATAATTCCATCTCCTACCTCTACCTCTCCATTGACATCTTCTCCATTGACCACCTCTCCATTGACTGCTGGACCTCCAGAACTCAAACTGGATGAAGTATCCAATTCTTCCTTGATTAAGGGAGAGAAGACTTTAGACCCAAAAGAAGAACTGGCAAAGCTAGAGCCAGAACACGGGAAGACCCCTCCATTGACCACTGGGACTCCAGAACTCAAACAGGATGAAGTTTCCAATTCTTCCTTGATTAAAGGGGAGAAGAAGACAGTAGACTCAAAAGAAGAATTGGCAAAAGTAGAACCAGAACATGGTAAGGCCCCTCCATTGACCACTGGGACTCCAGAACTCAAACAGGATAAAGTATCCAATTCTTCCTTGATTAAGGGAGACAAGACACTAAGCCCAAAAGAAGAATTGGCAAAACTAGAGCCAGAACATGGGAAGGTTGGCAAAGAAGGCTCAACAGAGGAGATTAATGACTGGGAGTTTGATGAACTTGAAAAGGACCTAAAAACCCCTAGCTGACCAGCAGGAAATAGGCCAAGTTCATACGGTGGAATATCCGAATATGTATACTGGTGCATTTTGATCTCATAACAAGGATGGATTGTGGCATGTCTAGTGGAACAAGCAAGTTAGTAGCTTTCATTTCCAGACAAGATGCAATGCTATGTATTTACAGGCAACACTCCTCATAGGTTGTAAATAAAAAGTGGACAAACATTCGAGCGCTTAGGTTTATCGAAGTGTGTAAATTCTCGTCTTTGATTACAAGATGTAGATACCTTAAAAAGTTAAAAGCAAATTAATTTCTCCTGTGTATAGATACCACAACCATGCAACTTCTTCTTCCAGGTCTGTTTGAAACATATTGCGCATAGAGCAAAGAAATTGATTTCACTGATCATGTGAGCAACACTTGATTACAGGGCATCTGTTGCATATGGAAGGGAGATATGTGATAGCGACCGTCGTGTACACGTGAGCTGGGATTGGCTATCATCCACTGATGGTTGATGAGACCTCACCTACTGCCATCACTGTCCGGGCGACTGTAATTAGTATTTCTTGCGAAGAAAATAGACTTCGCAAAAGCGGCGACCCTAGTGAGCTTTGACATAAACTCATATTCATAAAGCCGATGGAATTTTTCAGTCACATTGGTTAAAATGAGATCAATCATGTGGCTAGGAGGACCAGAACTCGAGCATCTCTTAAGATTATTAGCATCACGTGACCTCTTGATCAGGGTGTTAGTAAGATTAATATCATAATATGGTCTGTCTCGTGTAGGCACGTGATGGCTACCATTACTGGCAGTGAGCTTCCACCTTTTTGTACCTTTTAATGGCTCCATGGCAGGCCCTCCAATCCATGCCAGAATACTATTTTACCAACTAGGTCAATAAAAAAGTTGACAATAAAAACCATGTCTACAAAATAGGGAAGAAAAAAAGAACAGGAAAAAGAATTGGGTAAAAGCTAATGTTGACGAACAAAATAATCAAATGACCTCATACATTATTGGGAAGATGATGTAGAATCTTAAATTAAATATGAAATACAAAATCCTTTTTACATTATTCTAAGACACTGACTAAACAAATATTATGAAGTTCTGTTCTCAGATGTTTTTTACTGCCCATGAAATTGGACCTTGTGGGTTGTTTTTACATGTTAATATGGTCAACAGTTTGAAATTCCAAAGACAGATATTATAAACAATGATGATGATGAGGTTAAATCTTTGCAACAATTTTGACTAGGTTAGATAAGGACATCCACATATGATAGCCCATGATAGTAGTTGGTGTGGAGAATATAATTTTTTTATTTTGTGTTCTTTGATGAAAAAAATGAAATGAAATATCTCTCTCTCCCCTCCACTGATTATAGAATTGTGAGTGAGTGCAGAAAACCAGATTTCGAGAAGTGGGTTGCCCAGACAAACATAAAAAATACACAAGATGGTTTTCAAATTCAAATCTTGGTTGCAGGCAGGTTAGTGGATGTTGCAGAAAAAATAACATAATTATACATGTAATTGGCATATAAACATGAGATGCATTATTTTGGAAGAAGGTTGGAATCTGAGATCTCTTATCCCCAAGGCAAGGCAAAGTTTTTATCTTTTGGGCTCGACCGTGTTGGCTGATTCTCTTCCTTTTTTTTTATTTAAGGAAAATAAAACAGTTACAAATGGTATTTGTCATAGAACCTAAAATATGGGTTCAATCTTTGAGGAAAATTCAGAAGTGCTACAAATAACCTGAATAGTGAAAAGGAAGCACAAACTTAATTAAGAGAGGTGATCCATTTAGAATTCCCATATAGATATTCGATGGGAGAAATGCTAGCAACCTTCTCTCTAACTTTCTCCTTTGGACATTCTCCTTTCTTTGCTTGACATGTGTCATTCTCCTTACACTTAAAACAATGTCATTAATATATTATTCAAGCTAACTTTTGCTTTCCAAGTTTACCCTTATTAAATGTATTCAATTTATCCAAAAACATTCACAACTTTCTTACCATCTTATTAATTTTTTTCTAACGTCAATTATTTTTTTTAAAGAACATATATGCTTTTTTTTTTAAAAAAAAAAAAAAGAGGAAATGTCCGTTTTTTTTTTAACACAAAGGACTTTTTTTTTTTCTATCTAAACCCTTTGTTTGTTTTTTTTTAAAAATTTATTTTTTTTAAAAAGGACATTTCCTCTTAAAAGCAAATATGTTCTTTAAAAAAAAATTAATAAGATGGTAAGAAAGTTGTGAATGTTTTTGGATAAATTGAATACATTTAATAAGGGTAAACTTGGAAAACAAAAGTTAACTTGAATAATATATTAATGACATTGTTTTAAGTGTAAGGAGAATGACACATGTCAAGCAAAGAAATGAGAAGGTCCAAATGAGAAAGTTAGAGAGAAGGTTGCTAGCATTCCCCATTGAATGGATATCAAGATTTCAGATTAGATTTCATTTCTCAGAAGTTTGATTTGCTCTCTCTCCTTCAATCGTCAATGTACTTTCATTTTCTTAACAGTGTTCAAAAGATGGGGCATGTTGCTTACATTGAAACTCTCAATAAAAACAGAAGCTCTGCCCTGTCAACATCTTGTACTTGAAGTCTAAGCTTTGTGCTCAAACATTTGAAGAATCCAAATTCAAGGCGTTTACAGTAAGAGTGGATGTGGACTAAGAAAAACGTACATATATATATGGGGATGTTCAAGCCATGTCATCCCACTAATCACGCTCTACAGTCTGGGCATTACAAAAGTTTGATTTGATGGTTTGATTATAAGCAGCTATGTGTCAAAATTTGGTTGGTTCAAATCTGCCTTAAGAAAACTATAATTTCTAAGGAAACTGTCAATAATCACAACATTAAAATCTCATGGGACGGTTTAAAAAAACTGTGATTGGAATCTATTGAAGCTACAAAATTATTGTTCTTTAGCCCAAAATACAAGAATAAGCTACAAATTAATGTTCTTAGCCCAAAAGGAAAAAGCTATAGTTATTTTCTTTCTGCACTTTAGTTCTTGGAAGCATTCAAGATATTGAAAGAGAAAAATTATTATTATATATTATTCCAACTTGGCAACACCTTTACTTAAAAGGGTGCTCTGCCTCTTCCTTCACCAAGCTCTCCTTCCCATAAGCGTCTTCACACACACACACACACACACACAGAGTGAGCGAGCAGGGTTACATGAGATGGCCAGAAGCCAAGCCTCAGGTGAAACTACAGATGAAGACTACATAGACATGGAAGTAAGCTCCTCCTCCAACTTCTTTTGTTATTCCATTGGCTCTCCACCACAAACCAGAGAGTTTGAGTTTCAAATGTCCTCAGTTTCTCAAGATAAAGAAACGACAACATCCCCAGCTGATGAGCTCTTCTACAAAGGTAAGCTCCTTCCTCTTCATCTCCCACCTCGCTTACAGATGGTCCAAAAGATCCTTCAGAGCTCAAACACCTCACTTGGGAACAAAACCCAAGAAGCCATTGAAGACAGCTTCAGCATTCCCTTCATCAATAGCTCTACCACCACAGCTTCCACCAATACAAGCACCCCATTGGATAGGTCCTGCAATATCTCACCGTCAGAATCTTGCAGGGTTAGCAGTGAGCTAACCTCAGATGAGTACATCTCTGAATGGACAGCTGAAATGTGTGTTAATTTCATTGGTGGTCATGATCATCAAAAGAAATCTTGGTCCACAAAACTCAAGCAGATCAAGCAGTCTTCTTTGGGTCAAAAGCTCAAGGCTTCAAGGGCATATGTTAAATCTTTGTTCAGTAAGCCCACTTGTGCAGATGACTACTCTTGTGCAAAGCCAGCAAGAAATGCAGAAGCAGAAAATGGTTCAAAAGTCAAGGACTTTTGCTCAAATAAGTACATGAAGGTGGCCAAGAAAAACCCTTTTGGGAAAATTGACAATGGCAGATATCAAATATCATCAACTACTCTCATGAAAAGCATTGAGAAAGAAATGGCTGAGGAAAATGCCAATACCCACAGAAAGTCATTCTCTGGGGCCATTCAACATCCATCTGCACCAAAATCCTTGTGTTCATCCACAACTTCCTCTGTTTCTTCATCTTCATCTTCATCTTTCTCATTCAGCTCAAGTGGTTTCTCTGATATGCAGTTGCTGAAGAGAAGTACCAGTGCAAATTCAGAGCTTGAGAGCTCAATAGAGGGAGCAATTGCTCATTGCAAACAGTCCCAGCAGCTGTTTAGCTCAAGAAAGAGTGCAAATGAAAGTCATGAGTTCTGTTCACTGTCTGCTTCAAGGATGCAGTTTGTGGGGGTCAAGAGATCTCACCAGGCCACATCTAATGATATGAGAGACACACACATGAATATGATTACATTATATGATTGAGAATTTCAAATGTTTCCCACTTCCAAGTTTTCCTGTTAATCTGTTTTGAATTTGGGCTTCATTTGAATTTAATATGCAGTGTGATTGATGTACAGGCATTTGCACGTTTTCCAGCACTGTTTGATCAGAGTCATCAGACTTTCTTGGCCTGCATTCATTTAGAGAATTTAACTGTTCAAATAAAAAAAGTCTAAAAACACTTTCCCTGTTCAACTTTTGTTACATCAGAAGTTTTGTAATTACAATCGAGTTGGTTTGATTATTTCTGTTACTTAGTATAATATGCATTAATGTTATTAATTATTGCGTGTGACAAATGACTTGCTCCCCTCTTTATTAAAAAAAGTCATCAAGATATGACCCAACAAAGACATTTTAAAGATCTTTATATTGTTTTATATATCTTTAGTGACCAGTGGATCTATAAATTCTAATCCAATATCTCCATGTTGAATAATGTGGAGAAAAAAGTCACAACTACATGGTTTAAATGTACCCGATCTTTAAGATAGTCCATAAGCCTTAAACACGTCAAGAAATCTATAAACTGTTGCAAGTTGGACTTCCCTTAAGAGTTTGATTTTTGGATGTCCTTTTTTTATTGAGAGGAGCAATAGTATGCTAAATTCACACATACTACATTTATGCGAAGACTTGAACCCATAATTTTCCTGAAAAAACAATTGCTTGCACCCATTATCTTTTCTGAAGAAACAATTGCTTTAAATCACTACACTAGTGGATTTTTTCAAACTTCCCTTAGGGCACTTCAGCGGAAGGCTTTTTGCCCGGGGAGGACAGGGTCTAGCCCACAAGACGACTCCAACACGCAAAGGCAAGTCTGGGCAAGGCGTGGGGCCCACCAACCTGGGCAAGCCCTTAGGCAAAATCAGCCCGTGTTGCTGCCTGGGCAATTGATGTAATGTTGACTTCATAATGA